GCTGATTTTGTACAGTAGAGCATCGTTGCTTTTCCGGAAATTCAAGGGCCAGTGTAGATAGCTCGCAGCTTATTCCGGAAAAGCGGCTGATTTTCCGGAATAAGTGGCCCAGTGTAGACACAGCCTAACTGTTTTTAAGGCTTTTTTACAACCCTAAAATCTAGTTAGTTTAGAAAAATGAGTTAGGAAATATTTTCAGGTACCCACTATTCTTACCAAATCCCCACCATTCTCCAGGGATGTTGTACAAGATGGCTGCTGCATTTCACTGGTGCTACGAATTTTGTAAGGCCCTTTAGGATCCTGCTCAAAGCACAGCGCGATAGACATTTGAGGCCCTAATTCAGCAAGCTATTCGTGTGTCTGACTTTAAGTACGTGCAAAAGTTTCAGAGGGGGAGCCGAGTTAGTCTGTAAGACGAAAAACTTAAAAAACAACATTTTTTCTAGCACTTTAAAAACTAACACAACATGTAGACGGTGTCAGGAGCTTTCGTGGGCGCAGCCCACTTCTTCAGATGACCACCGGAGTGATGAAGGTCCTGTTTCTGGACCTCCAACACTCCGGTCATTTGAAGAAGTGGGTTGTGCCCACGAAAGCTCATGATCCCATCTACATGTTGTGTTAGTCTTTAAAGTGCTACCAGACTGTTTGTTTGTTTTTTAAAGTGTGCGAGCAGTCCTACTGACGTCAGTGGGATTAATCAAATGCTTAAAGTTAGGCATATACTTAAGCACTTGCTGAGGGATGCATGAATTAGTACTTATTTTTACATTACTCCCATAGTATCAGTCTTAGCAACGTCTATGATTAGACTTTGTAACTACCATGAAGACCAAATCCATACAGGTTTATACTCTTCAAACTATAACATCCTGATACAGTTTGAGACTATGGATGGCTACTGAATCCAAATTGCCATGCAAAAATCTGCATGGCTGAGCTCATGCTGTACAATGCAGAGCCCCACATGTCTGAGACACTATGAAGCTTGGCCCTTTGGGTATGTCTAGACTGCATCCCTCTGTCGGCAAAGAAATGCAGATTAGGCAGGTCGACATTGCAAATGAGGCAGGGATTTAAATATCCCATGCCTAATTTGCATAAAAATGGCCACCTTGTTTTGGAGACTCAGCACTTTGTTGGCAAAAAGCGGCAGTCTAGAGGGGGATCTGTTGAGAAAGAAACCCTTTTTCAACAGATCCTGTAAACCTCCTTGCAGGAGGCATAAGGGATCTGTCGAAAAAGGCTTTCTTTCTCGACAGATCGCCCTCTAGACTGCCGCTTTTTGCCGACAAAGTGCTGAGTCGGCAGAATGCGGCGGCCTTTTTTATGCAAAAAAGGGATAGTTAAATCCCTGCCTCATTTGCAATGTCGACCTGCTTAATCTGCATCCCTCTGCCGACAGAGGGATGCAGTCTAGACATACCCTCTGAGTCCTAAAATATTCATTAGAACAAAAACATTGAGACGAAATTCACAACTGAGGGTATGTCATGACTCCGCCATTTGGCCCTGTCTAGAAAAGCCTCTTTTGGAAAAGCAATCGGAAACAGCTATGCAAATTTCAGAGCGCAATTTGTGTAGCTTTTTCCAAAAAGAGGTTATAGTGTAGACATAGCCTTAGATTCCATTACAATCCTTAAGTGCAGAACCATTAGGCCTTACTTTCATAAATGCCGGGCCATCTCAGCTACTTGGAATTGTTATAACAGTCGTGTGGCATTAACGCTCAATGCACTCATTTACCTGTCTGAAGACCCATGCGTTGAAAGGAGATTGGTAGAGCCCTGCAAATCCGCGAATAGCTGCTTTACATCCATGGATGTCCACATCTGTGGATGTGGATGGCTGCATCCCATTTTTGAGGATATGGAGGGGTATAAAGATACAAATTTTGTATCAACGCAGGGCTCTAGAGATAGGCAATTGAGAGGGAATAAACCAGATTCTAACCTCTGTTCCAATCAATGTGAACCCTCAGAATCATTGATTGTAGAATCTCTGGAATTAAGCCAACATAATTCAGATCAGAATGTGCCCTAGCAAGGAGGCATGGAGTTATCATCTTCAAAGCTTCTCGGACGCTTTTAGCTTGTCAAACATTTGTGGATATTTTTCAACCATGGCTTGCTAACTTCAGAAGTTCAACCAAAACCAAAAGAGTAACCGAAAGCCAGAAGACTCAGCAGTGCATAGATATGGGCAACCTTTCAGATCTTAACTCCACAAGATTAACCCGCTTCTCTCTTTTGTAGGTCTCCACTATGAATTTGTGAAGACACCTGTTCGCCGGCCAAGTCAGATTTTGCAAAGGAGTATGGGTTGCCTTGATATACAGCCGGACCAGAAGAAAAGGTTTGCTCTTCTTGGGAGACAACAGACCTATAGCAGCGATTCAGAGGATTCAGGTCGAACATATGGTGCAGCAACACCGCGAAGTTTACCAGAGTCTGGTAAGAGATCTTAGTGGCTAGACAATCTGGTGGCGGTTGCCTTAGAACTAGTGAAGATAGACTAATAATATGGTAAGGGGGATATGCTCTGGGTAAAAGGCCTGAAGTAAATGAGAGGTTTCATCTGGAGTCTGCACTGAGTAAGCTGATTCCTTTGAGGCACACAATGGTTATGGGGCTGTTTTAGGTGGGGCAGATGAACAGACATTAAGTCACATGATCTCTTCTAAGTGTGAAAAGTTCTGTGATATGTGGGCCCATTTCCTCCCCTGTAGAGTTATTGCTACACTTTAGATTTTCTTATACATTTCAAAGTCACTTTGATCTACTTTAAAAAGTGGGGAGGGAAGGAAAGGGTTTACATAAGTTCTCAGAAGAAATGGTTAGCATTTAAACACCAATCTTAGTTTGCTCAAGAAATCACTCTGTAAACGCATTTTGTTCCAACGTGTTTGGATCTCGCGTTTGCATCAGGTCTATCCCTACTGCACATTCCTTACATTTACCGACAGCTGGCAAGACAAGAGTCCTTAATGCTGGGTGCTCTATACTGTGGTATGTCTCATTTTGAAAACTCTACCATTTCTTAACCTTGGGCATAATCATACGATCTTGGAATAATGAGGAAAGATGGTGACTGGCCCCAAGTGTCCATCAAACAACAGAGGCCACTCCTGAAAACGTTCAGATATCAGAAAATCCATGCCTTGATCATCTTGGGTATGTCTAGACTACATGGCTCCGTCGACAGAGCCATGTAAACTAGTTTACCCGGCATAGTCAATGAAGTGGGGATTTAAATAATCCACGCTTCATTAAAATAAACATGGCCACCGCGCTGTGCCGACAATCAACTGATTGGGCATAGCGCAGCAGTCTAGACATGGATCTGTCAGCTGGGGAAGCCTTTGCCGACTGATCTCTTATGCCTCATGAAACGAGGTTTACAGAATCTGTCGGCAAAGCCTTCCCCAGCTGACAGATCCATGTCTAGACTGCCACGCTGTGCCGGATCAGCTGATCATCACCCCTGGAGATTTCAAATTCTAATCCAGCTCAGATATGTAATGGCCAGAAGTTGTTACCATCTCATTGTTCTTCAGCAGTTTATACTGGAAACGGACTTGGCATTTTGAGTCCACTTCCTGGCATCCCTCTCATAAGACCCAGTTCTGTTCACATGAGAAACCATGGCTTCGAGAAAACTAGGACAGGTGTCAAGGCACCCACAAACAATTGTCCATCCACTATCCTAAGTAATTTTAGTACCAACAGGCACTCAACTGAAAACTAACATAGAATTGTCACCACTGTTGGTGACCAGGGTCAAAGAATGATGGTGACTGAAGCCACAGGGAGTCTTCTGCTAGCCTTAGGACGGTCACACATTAGACAACACAGTGCTGGGAAAGCGTGCCTTGCTGCTTCCCATACTGTGCTTGTTTTGTGGGTGAACATTCACTCTCTAGGACTGTCAATTTAATACCCATCATCAGTCCCCTTTTGGGACTCTAGCAAGGATCAAACAGGCTACCACTAGCACAACCTCCTCTTTCATATAATTGTGTGTGTGTATATATATATATATAGAGAGAGTCAGATAACTTTCTTTTCTTCATGTTTATGTTTGGAAATAGATATCGAATCTGGTTACGATTCTCCAGCCCACACACCTTCCTTTGCTGAAAGAGCTGAGGCTGCTTTACAGGGTATGAAGAAATGGGGCCCACATTGTCCCATTTCTCCTGACCAGATCCTCTTGACTGTCAGCACGCTGCAGCACGCCTACAAGCCAGACCAAGTCAGTTCCAATATGATGCACAATGTGAAAATCAGGGATGCCTGGGGACCTCCTCTGCGCCCCCAAGAACGCTCTAAGAAGATGGCAACCTCCAAAATCCTTAAGCAAGAGAAAGAGGACCCATCAGCCCAACTCAGATACATCAAATCTGCCAGTGGCTCACTGCCTATGAAAAGAATCTCAACCCCATTTGAAACCAAAAGACTGAAGCTGAACTTGAAGAACTCTTTGCACGGGTCAGCAGTGAGCTCCTTTATTCCTGCTCCTGTGATTGTACGCTCCAAGTCATGCTGCAGCTTGTCAGAAGAAAAGAAGGTTCATACTGGCCATGGCAGAGCCACTTCCTTGTCGGCAGGTGGGGGTCAGCTGATCGGCCACATAACAAGCTCATCTGAATCCATCAAATCGACGCGCATGATGATCGCACAAACTAAAATTGAGAGTGGGTTCCGGCGAGAAACTCCCCTCTTCTTACAAACTGCAAATCCTTACCGGAACAACTGTGGATTCAAGCTTCTGACACTGAAGCAGATGAAAATGTGTGGAGAAGCAACTGCTGTTGAGTATCAAGCACACCGAACAAAACGTATCGCAGACCAGCAAAAAGAATGCAGGAAGGCCTGGTTAAAGAAAATTAAAGGCCTTCCCATAGATGATTTCACCAAGGAGGGAAAAATCGCTGCTCCTGAACTTGGGTTTAATGTGTATGTCTGAGCTAAGGCACACTACCAGCTCTTTTAAAGGAAGAAATGCAAACAACTTTGGGATTTGGGGGTTGCTCAAATTGTTTGATTCAGCTGTGGTCCCCATTTGAGGATATCATCTCATGACTCTATCAGGGGCGGGGGGAAGAATTGTATAAGGAACACTGTATGATTCTTCAAGAAAATATTACGAACATAATTAAATAGCCCTCACAGCAGCCCATGAGATTATTATTTAGGTGGGCCTAGTATTAATGTAGACTGATTGAAATGTGATCATTAGTATCTCCCCTCGTGATTACCCCACCATGCTATGCTTCACAGTTTTCCTCATGAGGTCTCATGCACGCTCAAGCAGGCCAATCATTTGACCCACATTTCAAGGAAGGGGTGCCCACCCCTTGCAACTGTAGGGATGGCTCACCAGAACTCTGATAGCCTCATCAAATGTGCATATTTATTATATGAAATAAATATCTCCAACCATAATTTCTTCTTGTACTTGTATCTTCCATGTTGGACTAGAATTGAAACAGCTGGTTCTCTGAAAAAGAACTGTAAATATAGGCAGAAGGTATCGAGGAGCCTTGCACATCTCTACCTAGTATAGATTGCTTCTGTGCTCAAAAATTTACATGGGTTTTCCTAGGAGACCAATTCTATTAAATTACTGTTGAGTTCCCACTGAACAGCAGGTCAGCAAAAGGCCCAACTATCACTTATGTCTTGTTTAAATCCAATCTGGGGGCTTAAATGGGATGAAAATAGTGCACAGGCCAACTGCTAGGTCTCCGCACAGGGATGAATTCCATCCTTATCTTCCCTAGAAATTTAAACTTGATTTCTAACAGTTGCGTTACTGTCTTCACACAATGCAGGCGCACAGTCAACCTGTGGAACTCCTTGCCAGAGGATGTTGTGAAATCCAAGACTATAACAGAGTTGAAAAGAGAAGCTAAATACATTCATGGAGGATAGGTTCATCAATGGATGTTAGCTAGGGTTGGCAGGAATAGTGTCCCTACCCTCTCTTTGTCAGAAGCTGGGAATGAGTGACATGAAATGGATCACTTGATTCTCCCTATTCTGTTCATTCCCTCTGAGGCAGCTGGCGTAAGGAATGTAAAATCCCATTTTAAAAGTTAATCGTAACATTTAACCAGTTAATCGGGATCCCACAGGCAGGGAATTGCTCTGGCTAGACCAGGTCTGCCAGAAGAAGCATCGGCCAGGCTGGGCCAAGCCTGCTGTGGCCAGGGCAGGGGTTAGCTCTGGCCGGGCCAGGCCACCGGTTAACCTTTTACATTCCTAACTGGCATTGGCCACCATCGGAAGATAGGATACTGAGCTAAATGGACTTTTGGTCTGACCCATTATGCCTGTTCTTATTCTGCTAACAAGTCAGTGCAGATAACTCCAGTTTACTCATCGCTAATTGACACCATGCAGAACAGGATTTGTTCTAGCCAATACTGACCAGTCAGTTGTCAGCATGGTCACCTAAATCCATATTTAAAAATGGTTGGATATGATATTTGCTAGTGAAGACAAGCCCTGGCAGTGCATGGTCCCATCTTCCCACTGAACAGACTGGGACCAGTGAGTCAACTATACGAATGTGTCAAATTACTTATAAAATGTTGGCAAATCTTAGGTCTTGGCTTCATATTTGGTATCTGCAAGGTACAGACAAGCACAGTAAGTGGATTAACCAGTCTACTCAGGGTTCTTATACAATATCACGACATACAATTTTGGTGTGTTCACCAATGCCCAACTCCCTCCCTCAGCAGCAATATTCTCCTCCATCTGTAGTTTACAAAATTAAATATTGTTGCCTTTAATTAGAACATCAAGGGACACTGTTAACCACAAAATCATATTAAATCTCTTCTGTCGATCATGTAACCTGTGATAATTAAACAAAACTAATTTATTTCAAGCTCCTAGTTTCATGTTTGTTTGCATTTCCATTTATTTTGAATGTGGTAACTAAGTTTCTTGGTAGGAGTCAGTTTCACATGTGGTTTTCATACACCAGCTCAATGCTGTAGCACAATCAAGGCTCTTGTTTGTGCTCTTTATTACCATGTTTGGCCTGATCCAGACAGGTGCTGTCCACCCATAACGCTGAGTCTTGCCTAAGGGAACGGGGAGTCTCACTAGGGATGTAAAATCATGTTTAATTAAATTAGCTGCTCTCCGGGTACCAGGTAACCCGTTAACATCCCTAATTCTCACCTTCTCCCAGGCCCTTCACTGCCAGCATTTTCACTAGCATTTTGATGTCGGGATCCAACCAGTTATGTGCTTTAAGTATTTATTTATAGGGATAATAGGAAATCATGATATAAATGTTCATACTCATCCCCACTCATGGGCAAGTACAAATTGGTAGAGACACAACACTGTTGGGAATAAGCAAAGTTAAAGATATACACAATGAAAATACTTCTTGAGTCACTCACTGATTTTGTACTCATTTAAATAATTACTGATTCCACATATTACACAGGAGGTAAGCAAACTCATTCTTTCTCAGATCTCCACGTTGGAGAAATGGTGAGGAACAAGCCTTAAGTATTTTTTATTATACTAGACAAAACAGTTAAGCCCCAATATAATTTCCAATGACATTACCTACAGTTTTGCTACAAAGATTCACAAACAATGAAAAGCAGAATTTTTTAAAATATTATTTTAAAAAACGATTGTCTGTGTAAAACTACTATGCCAAGGGTCTAATCGGCATTGTGTATGGAAAAAAGTAATTTCTGCTTCCTAAAGTAACTTTAAAAAACATCAAAAAGTCTAGTAGCACCTTAAAGACTAACAAAATGAGGATGGCACCATGAGCTTTTGTGGGCTTAAAGCTCATGATACCATCTACATGTTTTGTCAGTCTTTAAGGTGCTACTAGACTTTTTGGGTATGTCTACACAGCAAAGTTATTTCAAAATAACTTTACTAGTGTCTACACAGCCAAACCGCTATTTTGAAATTAATTCGAAATAGCGAAGCACTTATTTCAAATTTGGTAAACCTCATTCCACAAGGAATAATGCCAAATTTGAAATAGATATTTCAAAATAAGTGCTGTGTAGACATATCGAAATAGGAGGCCTCCAGCCTTCCCAGGGTGCCCTGGTGACCACACCAGCCTCAACCAAGAACACTCCTTTCCCTCCCCGCGTCACAGTGCCTGTGCCAGCTCCAAGCCTGCCACCCTAAGCCAGTAGTCACTGCCCCTGACTCAGTGGCCCCAAAACATGAGTCAGCAAGCCACTGGCAGCCAGCCCTCCACTGCTCCCCAGGAGCAGTCTGCCAGCTCCCAGGAGCCTGCCAGGGCCCGGAGAAGGCAGGCGCCTTCCTGGTCCAGGGTAGAGATCATGGACCTTAAGTCAGGTTTGGAGGGGATGCCTCCAACTTCCATGATCTCTGCACTAGATGGAGGAACTCAGCTGTCTATGGCAGGATAGTTGCCAGCCTGGCCACCAAAGGCCACATGCAAACCCAAGAGCAGGTTTGCATGAAAATCAAGTTGGTCCAGCAAGACCCCCAACCCTGAGCTTCCCCTCCCCCATCTTCTCCTTGCTTCCCCCTTCCAACTCCCTCCTCCCAGATTTTCCCCTCCCCTCTCCTACCCTCTTTCTTCCCTTCTCCCACCTCCTTTTCCTAGTCCCCCCAGAGGTTAATCCCCTCTCCCCCAGTTTTGTTCAATAAACCCAGTTTCTATTTTTGAACATATGTGTCTTTTGTTTGACGTCAGGAAGGGGGGCTAGGGAGGGGTAAGTAGAAGGACATGAAGGAGGAATGGGGCACGAGCCCCCAGTGGGGAGGACCTGCGTGGCTCTGAGGGCTCCGTGGGGTGGACGCTCTCCCTCAGGGCAAAGGCACAAGACCCCAGTGGGGCAGACTAGGGAGGCTCTTAGTGCTCCTCAGGGTGGAAGCTCTACCGCAGGGCCTCCTGGATACTGATGACCTCCCGGATGGCAGCCTGCAGAAAGTGCAGCCAGGTTCGCAGCAACGCGTCCACGAGAAGCACCGGAGTTCCCAGGGGCAGCTCCAGCTCCATGTTGCAGAGTGCCATGGTGTCCTGAGTGAGGGCAACCAGAGCATGCAGAGACAAAATGCTTTGCTGTCCCTCATCGAGGTAGGCAAGCAAGCAGGGAAACCTGAGAACTGGCTGTCCGGGGGGGTCCCTTTAAGCATAGGCCTCAGATAACCTCAGACCTTGTTCCAGCTGGCCTTAAATGCTATTCAGTGTCCACTCAGTGTGGACGCTCTATTTCGAAATAGCAAAACGCTATTTCAAAATGCACTTTGTGTGTAGATGCATTATTTCAAATTAACTTATTTTGAATTACCGGTAACTATTTCAAAATAAGGTATTTTGAAATAACGCTGTAGTGTAGTCATACCCTTAGTTATTAAATTTTTCCTGTTACAGACTAACTTGGCTACCCCTCTGAAACTTTTAAAGTAACTTTGTAATTTTGTTTTAATTCCTCAGCCTTGTGTGACTCCCTGACCCGAACCAGACTCAGAACAATAAAACTGGGACCTCAAGAGGTCAAGCCCAGGCCCTGAACTCTTGGCAGGACTAAGCACCATCCTAATCTAACCCCCTCTTAAAAATCTCCAGTGATGGAGATTCCACAACCTACCTACGGAATTTACTCCAGTACTTAATCAGCCTGCTGGGAAGCTTTTCTGAATGTTCTCCCTTGCTGCAGTTTAAGCCTATTGCTTCTTGTCCTATCATCAGAGGTTATGGAGAATAATATTTCTTCCTCCTGGTTTTAACATCCTTTCAGATACTTGAAGGCTGCTATCACATCCTCTCTGTCTTCTCTTTTCCAAACTAAACAAACCCAATCCTTTCAGTTTTCCCTCACAAGTCATGTTTTCTAGACATTTAAACATGTTTGTTATCCAACCACCTTTCAGAAGAACCCAGCTATGTTTTCCTAGTTCATTGTTAAGCAGGTTATGCAAAACTGATTCATATTCTTTACTGAAGCCTAATATCTACCATGTCTACCACTTCCCCCTAATGTGCAAAGCTGGTTATCCTACCAAATAAAGCCATCAGGTTGGTTTGACATGATTCTTTCTAGACAAATCCATGCTGGCTGTTACTTATCACCTTATCTTCCAGATGTTTGCAGATGGATTCCTTAATTATTTTCTCCATTATCTGTAATTTCCTGGGTTGTCTTCATTTCTTTTTATAGATGGGCACTATATTTGCCCCCTTTCCAGTCTTCTGGAATCTCTCCCATCTTCCATGACATTTCAAAGATGATAGCTAATGGCTCAGATACACAATACTCAAGCTGTTTGAGGAGGTGTTTCATTGGGGGCCCCTGGTGACTTGACGCCATTTAAGTTTCCAAAGTAATTTTTAAACTTGCTCTTTTCCTAGTTTAACTTCTGAACCTACCCAATTTCACTGGCATTCACTACCTGATTGTTTTTTCCTTCTTCACTGAGCAATGGGTACGCTGACCACCTGGGTCAATCCTGATTTTTCATGTCCTGTCCTGGTGCCCCCCCGGCTTCCCCTGGCCTTGGTGTTCGTCTTGCTTCTAGTGGATTCGCGGGACGTTTTCTTGTTGCCCTTCTAGCTCTAGCTAGACTGAGCCTCGTCTGTGCCTCCACCTTTCCGACTGCGCCTTGTTTCTGGCCAGCCTGGGCATGCCCCCCCCATGCCCCGGGGGCGGTGACTAACAGCTACTCGTGTGAACAGGCACCGGGAGGATTTTTAGGGGTTACATGTTCACGGGGGTGGGGGGGTCACCAGCCCCCCCACCATTAATCCGGCGGCAAGGGTCAGGCTGGAGGGGGTGCTGGGCTGGCAGTGGAATGGGGTCAGAGGGCAAGGGTCAGGCTGGAGGGGGTGCTGGGCTGGCAGTGGAATGGGGTCAGAGGGCAAGGGTCAGGCTGGAGGGGGTGCTGGGCTGGCAGTGGAATGGGGTCAGAGGACAAGGGTCAGGCTGGAGGGGGTGCTGGGCTGGCAGTGGAATGGGGTCAGAGGGCAAGGGTCAGGCTGGAGGGGGTGCTGGGCTGGCAGTGGAATGGGGTCAGAGGGCAAGGGTCAGGCTGGAGGGGGTGCTGGGCTGGCAGTGGAATGGGGTCAGAGGGCAAGGGTCAGGCTGGAGGGGGTGCTGGGCTGGCAGTGGAATGGGGTCAGAGGGCAAGGGTCAGGCTGGAGGGGGTGCTGGGCTGGCAGTGGAATGGGGTCAGAGGACAAGGGTCAGGCTGGAGGGGGTGCTGGGCTGGCAGTGGAATGGGGTCAGAGGGCAAGGGTCAGGCTGGAGGGGGTGCTGGGCTGGCAGTGGAATGGGGTCAGAGGGCAAGGGTCAGGCTGGAGGGGGTGCTGGGCTGGCAGTGGAATGGGGTCAGAGGGCAAGGGTCAGGCTGGAGGGGGTGCTGGGCTGGCAGTGGAATGGGGTCAGAGGGCAAGGGTCAGGCTGGAGGGGGTGCTGGGCTGGCAGTGGAATGGGGTCAGAGGACAAGGGTCAGGCTGGAGGGGGTGCTGGGCTGGCAGTGGAATGGGGTCAGAGGGCAAGGGTCAGGCTGGAGGGGGTGCTGGGCTGGCAGTGGAATGGGGTCAGAGGGCAAGGGTCAGGCTGGAGGGGGTGCTGGGCTGGCAGTGGAATGGGGTCAGAGGGCAAGGGTCAGGCTGGAGGGGGTGCTGGGCTGGCAGTGGAATGGGGTCAGAGGGCAAGGGTCAGGCTGGAGGGGGTGCTGGGCTGGCAGTGGAATGGGGTCAGAGGACAAGGGTCAGGCTGGAGGGGGTGCTGGGCTGGCAGTGGAATGGGGTCAGAGGGCAAGGGTCAGGCTGGAGGGGGTGCTGGGCTGGCAGTGGAATGGGGTCAGAGGGCAAGGGTCAGGCTGGAGGGGGTGCTGGGCTGGCAGTGGAATGGGGTCAGAGGGCAAGGGTCAGGCTGGAGGGGGTGCTGGGCTGGCAGTGGAATGGGGTCAGAGGGCAAGGGTCAGGCTGGAGGGGGTGCTGGGCTGGCAGTGGAATGGGGTCAGAGGACAAGGGTCAGGCTGGAGGGGGTGCTGGGCTGGCAGTGGAATGGGGTCAGAGGGCAAGGGTCAGGCTGGAGGGGGTGCTGGGCAGTTGGTGACAGGGTCAGAGCAGTTACTTGAAGATGTGGGAGAATAGTAAAAAAAACATTAAGGGGCGAGTAGAGGACAGCTTACTGGGAGATGAGGCAGGTTAAGATTCAAATACCAGGGATCTACAGTGCTCGGATGTCGTATGAGGAGGCTATTTTTTAAAATAATACCTTCGGTGAAACATTTTTAAAACACCAAAATACTTTTACTAAAAATAAGCCCTAATTGATCTGATGATAAGCACACCTGGATAAATACTAGTAACTGGAGATCTCAACTATATCTGCTAATTACTACTTGATTAGAATATATCAGAGGTCCCGCAGGAAATGTGGCCTAGGAGTTGAGGGGGAGGGGGAGGAGGGGAATGTCTGTTTGTTACTGTCCTCCAAGCCCTACCTCTTCCTACCATCAGCCCACCCTCTCCCCCATGGTACCCCATCCTCCAAGCCCCGTCCCCCAAAAATGTGGCTCCAGGGATCACTGTGTTGGGGGGGGAGCTCGGCTGCTGTTGCTGCGTGACGCTAGTTGCTCCCCCTGCCATGTCTGAAGCTGTGTCCTCAGGGAATGGGGTGCCATGGGAATGAGGGTACAGTGGTTGTAGGAAGGGGCGGTGCTTGTGGAACAGTAATGAACAGGACACCCCTAGCCTGCCGGGACTCCCAGGATGAATTATTCAGTTGTTTCAGTAAGGGATGGCTTGTGGGCTGGGAGTTTGAGACCCCTGGGATATATAGTGTGATGACATGATATAGGCCCTAGTCAGAGATCTGGATGTCATTTAGATAATTATTGTACAAACGCAAAGAACATTATACCCTTCTAATTAATTTGGTAAACAATCCCACTCTTCCCTGAAATAGTTATACCAATACCAAAAGTATGTTCAAATCAGGCTTTAGGCAAACAGCTCCCAACTTCTGAGAAATCTGCAGCCCTTAATTCCACCATTTATGTCCTTTGAGGAATCCCTAATGTGACATGGACAAGTTCGGCTTTACTGCCACTGAAAATAAAAAAAAAACTTTGCAAAAAAATCCAGAAGTGCTCAAAAGGTGGGGTTTTGTGCTTAAAGGACTTGTTTTAAGATCTGATATTACTCTACTGTTTGTAAAAAGACTCTTTGAACTCAAAGCTTTGTGTGGTGCAAGATGAAGGAGATAGTGTTTAAAACAGCTTGGCGGTTGTGTGTGCTGCTTCTGTTGTATTTAGTTAATTTCCAATTATTTTTATCTTAAGGCCTCATTGAAATATGGTAGTTCTGGATAGTCAAAACCATCCCCTATTTGAAGCTAAAAATAGCCTATCAATTATATCTCTTGTAACATTTTGTCTCTTTCTTCCCCTTTAGGACAGTAATGATGATACTGAAGATGTGTCACTATTTGATGCGGATGAAGAAGTACCCACGAGATCAAGAAAGTCAAAGATAAGGTCTGTGGTCAGTACGAATAGTTCTTTCATGGGTTGCATCCAGAAATGTTGCAGAGGCAGGACTGGTGTGTTTCTGGTATGTTTTATGTCTACTTATTGGTAGATGAGAATGAGTTTCTCTCTTTACTTAAAAGTGAATGAGATTTTTGAAGCAATGTTTCCTGGCAAATAGAGGGTAGGAGACTTATTCATAAATAGCTAAATAATTTAGTATTTCATTACAAATCCATGTCTTTATGGGTTTGATGGATTGTATGTTCGTGCTGTTGAGCTGTCTATGTGCAGACCCAGGAAGGCAATCTGAAATAATAAGATGTGTGAACTGGCCAAAACCGTTGCTCCAGTGCACAGCATCTATCCTGAGTAATAGAGAGTTTTTTAGGACATGGGGGGAGGAATCTTTCTTTCTAGGCCATTCCCTGAGCACTTCTCCAGTATCCTGCCTGGAGTAGCCTCTGTCCGATTTCCCTGCTTCCCTTTGGATGCTGTTTCATACTAGCTGATACAGCAGACTCAGTCCTGCGTTATCCTCAGAA